TAGGCGTTCTGGACGAGAGCGGGGCCCCGTGTACCTCCCCAGAAGCGGCTTCTGCGGCACTGGTTGCCCATTGGGGTAAGGTCTTTGCACAGGCGGATTACGGCCCGACTCATTGGGAAGAAACGCTGACCCATGTTCAGACAGTTGGCGACTGTACTATTGCCCCACGGTGGAAACTTGACGCGGATGAATTTCGGGGCCGTGTCGGCCATAAATTTCATTCTGATCCTGGCCCTGATGGGATCCCATATGGGTGCTGGAAGGTCCCTGAGGCGACCGATGCTCTATTCGAGGTTGACGAGGAGGTTTTCAACCGTGCAGGAGGTGCTCTCCCTTCTGAATGACGGGTTAGTCGCATGGTGTTCCTCCCGAAGGGCAGCGACCCCAGGGGTCGCAGCGACGTTGTCTCTCGTGCACCTGCCTCCACCCGCCCGCTCTCCCCGGCGAATGCGGATGCGAAGATACTCTCCGATGCCTTCTGTTTGGGGCTCAATGACGTCGCTCCTGAGACGGCGGGCGTCTCCCAGCGTGGTGGGGTTCGAGGGCGTAACATATTAGACAATGTCGTTGAAGTAGAAAAATGGGGCCTTATCCAACACATGTGTGGGATAGATAAGGCGGGGGTCTTGTTCACCGATTTCAAGGCGGCGTTCCCTTCGATCCTGGCCGAGTGGAGTTTTGCCGTTTTGGTGGCCATGGGGGTTCCCAGTGAGACCGTGGGTTTCTTCAAAGCCCTGTACGCCAACAATGCGGCCCTGTTTTGCTTTGAGGGCGCTGCCGAAACGGTTTTCCCTGTGGGGCGAGGTGCGCGGCAGGGGGGCCCTGCGTCAATGACCCTCTTTGATCTGGCCCTGGACCCCGCACTGCGCTGGATCCGTGCCCGCCGCGTCGAACGTGTAGGTGTCCAATTGGCGCGCGCTGATGACTGCTGCGTTGGTCTATGTGACATTATCATCGATCCCATGACCACCTTGCTGCTTCTCGACTTGCTCTCTTCCGCGATTGGTCTCTCGTTGAATGTGGGGAAATGCTACGTCCCGATCTGCGGGACGCTGAATGGAGATGCCCTCGCTGCCCACATGACTCGGAAAGGCAGCCGTTTCGCCTCAGTCCGTTTCGCCACCAGAGTTTTGTACCTCGGATTCTGGGTGGGCCCAACGGCCCATGAGGTGGCCTGGGTGGAAACGATGAATAAGTTCTGGCAGCGAGTTCGTCTTCTTCGCTCCCTCTCTCGCTGGGCTTGGCGACCACCATCCGCCTGTTCCACTCTAATTGCCTCTCCGTCTTGCAGTGTCGGACTCAGCTGGTGAGGGTCACCCCAGGGGTTCGGCGTCAGTATAGGGAAGCATTGCAGATACTAACAGCGGGACCTCGGCATGCATTGAACTACGCTATGCTCACCCAGTTACGTGACCTTGGGATCTCACCTGAATTCGTGGACCTGGGACTGCATGATCAAGCTACGAAATTTCGGGTGGTAGTGCGGCGCAAGTCATTAGATGATGCGCTTTATGAGTTAGATGGCTTATCTAGTGGCTTGACTGATGATGAATTTATCCATGCCCGTATGTTTTCTGGGTGGTGGTGCCATTCGATGATACGCACGACGAATGAGGATGCTGCGGACCTCGTGAACTCCCCCATTGATCGAACTGCCCGTCCTATCCAGGCCAAGGTCCATCGGCACTTACGGTCGGTTCGTATTGTTGCCACTCCATTGTTGTGTCTGAGTGTACGGGTATCGAGGTGGTTAGTTGCAGCACCTCTCGAGGATATGTTCCGTCTGCGGACTAGGTTGCGCGCAGTGGAGCGTGCCACGTGCACCCATCTGGCTACCAACGTTCTCCGTGTACTGCCCAGGGGCGCTTGTACTTCGGCACGTTTTCATGCGAATGACCGTGGGTGCTGCCTTGGGTGCGTGGCCCCCGATGACCTTCACCACTACGAAATCTGCGATCGATTCCGCGACCTGGCACTGCACCGTCTCCCTGGGTTGGAAGCTTTACCCACGCCGCGGAGGGAGATGTGGCAGCACCGAGATACCTGGCTTACCTGTCTATGTCTGATGGGACCTTCCTGGGGGCTCGACCGCGACGTTGCCTGCGCTGCCTTCATCGATGCATTCCTTAAGACACACGCCCATCATCGGCGTTTGACACAGGTCCCCTCGTCCCAGGTCTTCGTGGCCCGATTGCGTCTTCTGGCTCGTCGGTATACTGGTGTTGCACGACAGTTCAGGGCACGGCGTATTGTGCGGGCCGCCACGTGAAGTGATGTCGTCTGAGTGTACCTCGGTACCTCACGGGTGAGCGAAGATCGGCCTCCCGTCGTGCACCGGCGCCCAGTACAAGCGCGGAGGGTAAGAGGGACACCGAGCAGATCCTTGACGCCATGCGTGAGTTGATTTTTGCACGACTGTTCTGAGCACTGTGTATTGGGCGGGCTGCCTCGTGAAGTGATGTCGTCTGAGTGTGACCGCCCCCTCTCATCTCTCGCGCGTGTGCTCTGGTGCTTGTCTCTGTGTTCCCTTGCCTCTCCTGTCGCTTGCTGTCTTCCGTCTCCCTGCCTCTGCCGCTGCCCCTTCCCTGCGGGGTGGGCGTTGTTGGGTCCTCGGTTTTTTCCCGCCCCTGCCTTCCCCTCTTTCCCCTGGTTTTCTCCCGGCCCGCCCCCTCGGCCCTCCTGCCGCTTGCTCCTCCGTGCGTGTGCTGGTGCTGCTGGGGTTGGGCCCCCGCCTGGCTTGGGGGGCGCGCGCGGGGGCGCGCGTGCACCCGCCCCGCCGCCCCCTGCCGCCCCCGCCGCCCGCCCCGTCGACGACCTGTACATCTGTGCCCGTTGCGCCTCTCTGGGAGGTAGGGTGCTTGCCTCTCGATTTTGTCTAGGCGTGTTTCGTGCCTGGGTTGTGGGTCGTGGTGACGGTGGCCTGGGTTGCGAGCGCCCGAGGCTCGTGGGGCATGGACTCTGTCCTCCCCCGTCACCGAGTGCGCCCCCCCGCTGCCGAGGACTCGTTCGGGAGGATCGGTAGCGGGCGGCGCTGCCCCGCCCCGCCCCGCGCGCGAGGTACCTCGGTACCTCCCACGGGTGGGCGAAGATCGGCCAGCCGTTGTGCACGGGCATCCAGTACCCTGTCCTTTCTCTCCCCTTCGCTGCTCCTCTGCTGCCGCTGCTCCCCCCTCCTGCACGGATATTGAAGTTGGCAGGCATGGCCTGCCGCCGCCCTGCTGTTGCTGATCACGGATTACGGGCCTGTATGGAATATTGATGCTCGCCTGCGCGGGAAAAAAACTCCTCCTCCTCTTCCTCCCCCCCCTCCTCCTCCCCCTCCTCCTCCTCCTCCTCCTCCTCCTCCCCCCCCCCCCCATCTCTCTTTACGTCCGCCTCCTCCCTCCGCCGTCCCTCTTCCCCGTTCCCTCCTCCGTACGTGGCTTCCGCCTTTTCCCGCCTTCCTCTGCCCTACTCGCCCTGCCACCTCACTCCTCTTTTTTGCCTCTTGGATAGAAATGAAGCCCGACCACGGGGGGGCCAGGTTGCAGCGCACGCACACGGCACCCCCGGGACCCCTTATTGGCGCCTCCCTTCCGAGTGTCTTCTGGGAGCCTTCCCCGAGCTCCCCCACGAGGCTCCCGGAGCCACGCAGAAGTTCCACGAGTGCCCCACGACCGCCCCAGGAGGCCCCGCAGGCTGCCCCAGGAAGTTTCCAGCAGAACAGCGTGGCCCCAAGAAGCCGCCAGAGAGCCCGCACGGGACTTCCAATAGGGCCAACACAGCCAAAGACAAACAGGAATCCCAACGCGTAGCTCCAAGATGGCCTCGGGGGATCAAATGGTCCCGAAGGGAGGTGCAATACTTCCCGAATATAGCCCAGGTCTGCTGCGAATCCGAATGCTCAAGCCGACACTTCAAACACCAAGGCGTGCGTTTCCAAGTCAAGAGCCTAATCATCCTGACACGGCATCTCGGACGCGCAATACGTTTGGCCCCGTGAAAAGTAGAATTTGACAGCGCGCGAAGCGCGCGAGTTTGTGTATGTATAGGTGTATGGAGAATTGGGTCAACCCATACACGTGTGTATGCACGTTTGTCCATATAAAATATCGATGCATCCTATTACATATATATATGCACCTTTATTCATACACATGAAGTGTATAAGCATGTACCAAACACGCAAACGTGTGTTATACACACATCGGTGAGCATGTGTTCATGTGTGTATATGTATAGATATATGTAGGAAAGAGAAGAAGAAGAGATACCGAGAGAGCAAGAGACACACAGACACGCGCGCACATATCCCCCCCCCCACACACACACAGACAAACACACGCACACACAGACAAACACGCACACACACACACAAACAGACAACACACACGCACACACACATGCACACACAGTCGTGCAGTCAGATGCTGCTGGCCTAGTGCCTGCAGCACTCTTCCACCATCGTACCAGCGCAGCCATCTGTGCGGTGGCCACCGTAGGAATCGCACGGACGGCAGCAATTCGTGACAGCCTTGTCCCCCACGCCGAGAGTCGGGCCGGACGAAAGGGGGGGATTGGGAAAGGGGGGGTACGAAATTTGCTGCATGCAGCTGGTTTCGGCCCCACCGATCGGGACCCATTCCTCGATACATGGCCGCCTCCGGCGCCGGGAGGCGCCGGGAAAATCAGCTACGTGAGCTGATTCTCAAACCCCCTTTTGCTATCCCCCCCTTTCGTCTGGGCTCGAGAGAGATTCTTCCCTCCATGCTCGAGAAGGCCTTTGCATGTGATAGGTTCCCACCCAAATCGTCCACAGGGCCACATCATGCGGCACCCCTTTCCCTGCGGCACCGCTCTTACTCATGGCTGCTCAGAAAAGGGTCATCACAGCAGTACGGCGAAATTGGTAGGCAGACGCGCAAGCAGCGACGAACTGGACGGAATGATGGCCAGGTCGGGGAGATAGGGAAGTAATGCCGCTTTTCGGTTCGGCGGCCATTGAGGCGGGGAGTGCTCAGGCGCAGCAGAAGCGCATGGACGCGATCGACGACAAGTTGGAGGAGAGGTTCTTTCTTTTGCGCTCAGCTTGAAGCACTGCAGGGGCCGCATGGTCAGATTGCGTCTTCTGCCAAGGACGCGAAGGAGCACCGCGTCGGGAGCTTTCTGTTTCGCGTTCAAGGTTCAATGCGTGCGAGAGCCTCAGATCGTGGAAGGCGCATGGGCACAGTGCCGGAAGCCGCGTCGAACATCGCAATCCGCACATGGAATGAGCAGCGTAGCGGCATACCTGAGGCGCATCAATGAACATCAGTCCAATATCGGAGTGGTTTGGAGAAGGAGCAAGTATTTGATCCACCCCCGTCCTTCCCCTAAGCCGCTCCCTTTGGGGCTGGACTGCAAGCCCGGAAAGGGCTACGTGCAGACCTGCTTGACCAGAGTGGTGTTCAAGAGCATGTTCTCGCAGAGGGGGAGAGAGCGTAGGGGCAGCGACGGTTGCCGTCTCTGCCACCTCCAAGAGCAGGGCAGACTTCCCAACGAGGGTCTCGTGGGCCACCTTTGGCCGGGTAATTCGGGCTCGGGCCCCTTCCATTTGTCGACCGCGCACTGTTCGGAGTCGCCCCAGGGAGGCACAATCTCAGAGGAGCGTCCTTGAGCTGTTTGCGATTCGTGCCAGTTAGTGAAGCTTGACACGGTCAGCTCTCAAACAAAGATATGATGAGAGGCGATTTTAGGTAAAGATCGAAGGTTGGGGGCCTGTTTTAAGTCCCCACTGGGAAGTCGGTTTCGGTTCGTGCCGCGCGTGCGGCCGATGCGAAGCTGCGCAAGATCTTGCCACAGTAATGCATATTTCGTGTCGGATTGGTGCCCCCCTCTCCGAGGTCGCCCTGGTGGGTTCAGGTTGTCCAGCCGTTGTCTTTTGGTGGTTGTCCCGTGGTTGGTATGTGGTTGCTCCGTGGTGATCTGGTTGTCCCGTGGTTGCCCTATGGTTGCTCCACGCGGACGCCCCGTGATTGTCCTGTAGTGCGGGTTGCCATGATCTACGGTTCCGTTTATCGCGCCGTTGCGTGTTGCTGTCCCGCGTGGGCGTCGCATGGTCGGATAGTGGGTGGGATGGTTAGAGACGTCGTCAGAGCAATGAGAAGTTAGGAGGTTCGGAAGAGTTTGAGGTTTATCAGAAGAGTTGAGGAGTGGTGGGGTGGTGGGGCAGGTTAGCGTTAAGTCGAGAAGTCAGCTGGCAGAAGTTGTTGCGCAGTTGTCCTGTGCGCTTGTCCTGTGGTTGTCCCGTGTTCTGCCAGGTGGTTCTTCGTCGGTGGTTTTGTGGTTGTCCCGTGCTGTTGTCCCACGGTTGTCCAGTGGTGATGCTGGTAGTGGGAGATTTGGGCAAGAAGCTCGAATTTGCATGCTACGCAGTTTCGCTGCCGCGCGATTCCCCCAGCGCGCTGGGGCGGGGCCTTCGGAGGCCGTCTCTGGGGTGTTCCTGGGCCGTCTTGGGGTTCTCTTTAGGGCGCTTCAGCGCCGTTTTTTGGATGCCTTTTGGACCGCACGGGGGCCCCACTGGGGCCGTCTCTGGGGCCTGCTGGGCTACCTCGGGGCTCTCTTGGGCACTCTTGGAGTCCTCTTCGAGGCCTTCTCGGCTGTCGGGCTCTCGGACGCCCCAAAAAGTTGCGAATGCGAACTTCTCTCGGGAACACATGGGATCTGTAATATTTGGACGTATCCGGGCCCTCCTGGACAGCCCCATGGACTGGACGGACATTTCAATCTGGTCGAGTACATCCCCTTTGGGTCACCGAGGAATGTCTGAACCATAGAACATCGAGGCCCTCTTAGGGCTGTTTTGGGACCTCCTTGGGGCCACCTCGGGGCCGGATAAGCCCAATGGAGCCCGCAGAGGCCGTGAGGCCACAAGCTGGGTAAGTAAATGTTTGTTCCGTCATTTGGCTAGATCCGGGGAACCTCCAAGGAGAGAATCTTCGGCCATCTGGGCACTATAAGGGTAGCCAGGATCATTCCGAGCCATCCTGGGGCCGTCTTGGCACAGTCTTTCGGCCATCGTGGGGCCATCGTGAGGCCTGACACGCTTTGACCCGCGCTCTTGGCGCGCTGTCAGGGCGCTCTTGGGGCGCTCTTGGGACGACCTGGGCGAAACTGAGGCCAGCAGATCCCCCAAGGGGGCCCGTGCACGCGGGCTAGAAAACCAGCTATTTGATCACGCATAGACGACCATGCCGTCGGCCCGATGGACCAGCGAATGTGTGCCCTGTGCTTTGTGTAGATCGTTCAGTTCTGTCTGCGGCGCGAGCTGGTTGGAATTGCTGGAACCCCCTGTGCAACACGCATCTAGACAATCGGTACGAATGCTCAGTCTTGGGCGCCACAGGCATGAACCTACAGAGCAACTGCAGATGTCCCATCTTTGCCTTCTCGGCGCGCCTTGGGGGCATCTTGGTAAGCCATTGGGGCACCCTGGACCGTCCCGGTGAGGCCTTGAGGCCGTGTTTGGGCGTCTTAGGCTTGTGGGGCGTTCTTGGATGCGTGCCAGTGGGAAGCCTGGAGCAACTCCGTTCGGCCAGGACCCCCTTTGGAGGGGACAGCAAGCAGGCGGCAGGACAGGCAGAACGAGAGGCGGTGAGCCAGAGGCAGCACGATGGGCACGCCAGCAGGACCGCAGTCCAGCAGGGCCCCCCGCAGCCTGGCGCTCCGACGGGGACGGCGCATGTCTATGTTTCCGCTGGTTCGAGATCTAGGCAGTGTCCACTGCCTCCTCCTCCTCCTCCTCTTCCTCCTCCTCGTCCTTTTCCTCCTCCTCCTCCTCCTCCTCCTCCTCCTCCTCCTCCTCCTCCTCCTCCTCCTCCTCCTCCTCCTCCTCCTCCTCCTCTCTGGGCCAGGGATCTACACATGTCCACCGGCCTTAGCCAGGCCCATCCTGTGCCGAGCAGCGGTGCAATCCCTGAGCCAGGAAGGCATATATACACCGCTCCTGGGCCCAGGATTGGCTGGCCAGTGACAGTGGATGGATCCCGTCGCTCTTTCTTGTTGGTCACAAATTTCCCAGCGAGCTGCAGACCATCGGAGCAAGCAGGTGTTGGTGTGTATACTGCGGATCCCCATGGCGATTCGAATTATCTTGACGATGTGTTCCGCGCACCGGCGGGGTGGAGTGTCGCAGACGGTTGAGTGAAACGGCCGCCGCAGGACTTGAAGGAGATGCTGCAGGAGCTGCTGCAGCAGCATGGCCCGACGGTAACTGCAAGCGTGTGAGACCGTGTCGGCCTCAATCTTCGCGCATCCTTGAGCGAAGTTGGCTTCCCGTGATGGTTTTCGTGTCCGCGCAGGGCGGTGTGCACGACCGACGGCGCCCACCAGCGGCGCCGCAGGTAACCAGTGTGGCAGTTTTCAGTGTCGCTGGCACGTTGCGCAGAAATTGCAGCTAGCTTTAAGTCGGGCGTGTCCCTCTACAGGAGGAATCTTCAAAAATAATGTATGGGGGCGATGTCTTGACTATTGTTGGGCATGTTTGGAGTATTTGTCTGCGTATTTTTAATCTGCCGCCCAAGATCCACCTGTAGGGGGACAGGCTCGACTTACGATGTGGCTGCTCTTGCGATCGAATGGCCCGGCGTTGTCTCACCCGGTACGGCCTCCCCCCATCGCGCGGGGAATGCGGGGGCTCTGCCCGTCTGCTGTCGCGAAGCACCCCGAGGCCTCCTTTTGCCTCAGTGGGCTGACTCCCGTGCCCTTGAGCTGACACGTCGTGACGAGTGCCACTGGGTAGTGGCGCTCACCAATGGGGCAGCAACGGACGCAGTTCGATATTGTCACCTTGGAGGGCCACTGCCGCGGCCATATGAGGACCCGCTTCACCCTCGGAAAGTCAAACAAAGTCCTACCAGGAAGTTGTACACACATGACGAGGCTGGCCTTGGCGTGAACTGAATACGCATGTGGCCAGATGGTGCTCCTGCGCTCGGCACTCCTACGACAGGAACGCATGCGTTCCGCATGTGCTTCCAGGGCGTAGCATGTACGTGTTCCACATGTTGTTCCAGCTATGTGTGTGTGTGTGTGTTCCAATTTCCTGGTAAGCACGTTCTCGTGCGGTCCAGCCTTGTCGGGTCGGTCTCGTTTCTCCTGCGTCGTCGCATCAGCCGTTCTTGGTGTTCATCGAGAGTGGGCTTGCTGGTGCTGGCGGCGGCGTCCCGATCCCCCGGGGCGACGGGGCACTCTGGCAATGGCTCGAGGGCCCAGCATTCTGGCAGGCCGACGTGTCGAACGCCTTCGGGTCAGAGTGTCCCTGGAGCGAGGGTCGACATGTCGACGAGTCATCGGCTCGAGACACGTCAGCACGAGAGGCCGACAGGGCGACGGGCCTTGGGGAGGGTCTGCCCACACCTCAGCACTTGGGACGGGTGGACCGTGTTGATTGCGTGGTGGGGCTCATGCGTAAGAGGAAGGCATGCACTTGTGCGTACAAGGACGCGTTCGTAGTATGTACGTGCGTGAAGGCGTGCACGCACGCACACATTCATGCATACGCGTGGCAACACGGATGGCCACGTAGCCATCGTAGGCCAGTCAATTGGTTGCCCAGTCAGATGGTGGAGCATGTTGAGGGGGTCGTACGGCAGACTGGTAGTATGCAGTTTGTTTGCGCCGCCGTGTGTTTCAAGATTGTGCCAGTGTCTTCCGCGGCATCCTGTAATGCTGTTCGCCTGGTAAGCATCCCAGCGATTCAGCATGTATGCGGCCCCCCCTCCTTTCCACATCAAGTCAGGCACCTCCCATCACAGAAGTTATTGTTTCCATGAGCTCCCTCTTCCCGAGCAATTTTTTTTGAGTCCGTCGGCGGGGCGCTGTCGCCGCGACAGAGTTCGTGCCAAAGTGCACGTCGCACTGCAGTGGCGAGCACATTATATGTTATAAGTCCCAGAGCCTTCGAGATGAACGTTCTTGGATTGCCTTTTCAATGTTTGGAGTGGTGACCTTGAATGGCCGCCCTTGCAGTTTCGTGGACAGTCGCTTGTCCCTCCACACGCGTCACGGAAATCTGGGTAATATTCCAGCGTTTTCGAAAGGATGGCATCCCAGCGGGCCTCGACAGATACGACCAAGTACACTTTTGGGGTCTTATGTAGAGCCATTCAATATAGCCATCCAATATGGCACGAGCGCGTTTTATGTGGTATGTCTTATTGATCGCCCACCATGTACTGTGCAGCCGTCTGCCTTTATGGTTTATGCACACAATTGGGCCTTCTGGTGACACACTTCGCAGTAGCAGCCTTCCGTAAGCCTGGTTATATACAATGTAGTAAGTACGACACGGGCATGGGATATATTGTGTTGGTGAGTTCTGCCCAACGCTGAAGGTGTATTACGGTGGGGGAGTTCGGTACGGAATGCGCCTAGGAGGCTTCAGACCTTGGAGGATTCCTTATCTGATGAGGGCGGTGGTGATATACTTGGCCAACCCTCAGCTCGTGTTTCACCGGCTTCCAGACCCTGGATTCCTTATTCTTTATCCATTGGTTCCCCATCCAATGCCCCCACCGCATCGCAGAGTCATAATGAACGGTACTCCTGAGACAAAGGGGCTGTTCGGAAACGTATGACGATTTCACATAGTGCAAGGTTGGAAGTTGCAAAGGGGCAGTGTGAACAACATTTGAGCTTTCGGCTTTCATGGCCTCGGGACGCCAGGGATTCAGTGAAGCGGCACCGTTGACATGTTTCTGGCATGATGTGTATAATCAACGTCGCTTCGCGTATCCCCATCAGCCCACCCAGAAACGATCTCCAGGAGGGTTGTTTTGATTAGGGAAGAGTAAAGTAAGAGCATGCAGTGAAACAGCCGCCCAGAACGATCGGTGGAACGCCCAATCCATCCAGACATGATGCCCAGGCGTGTTGCCAGGATCAAGGGAGTGTCTGAGCACGCGTTGGGACAGCCGCGTTGGAGAGGTCGTCGGGGGCGCAGACAGGAGCGGGAAACTACGTTGAGCATTTACCAGATGTGCCCATTCGGCCCCATGCTGCCGCCGCGGCCTGGGCCAGGCCGCGGCGGCAACATGGGGTCGCGTCGGCGCTTCGCTCCTACACTCCCCATCGACAAGTAATGCAATGTCCCTGGGGGTAGTGTTTCGTCCCGGGTGCGTTTCTGCCGGTCCCCCCCAGGGCCCGAAAATGGCTCCCCGAGGCCAAAGACTACGAACGACCGAAGGCGACGAAGACAAACAACTCGATGGTTAAAGTTGCATTGTTTTTCCAGGGCGGTGCACTACCCTGGCCTCCCATGCTGTGCCCCATGCCGATCGGAGGGGTGGCGGGGGCGCAGAATCGGGTGGCAGCGCACGTTGACCGATTGCAGAAAGGTGGCCGTGCCGCCGCAGCTCTGACCTTCACGGCCTCACCGCACGAGCCTGCTCCGGCGACTGCACTCTGCACCCCTGGAGAAGTACGGGGAGCCATAGCCGAGCCGTGGGGGAGGGGGGGAATCGTGTCTGCGCGGTGCTTTCGGCCGAGGTGTTCACTGGAGGACTCCCGGGGCCATCCTGCTGCCCTGGGGTCGTCCTAGGGCCCTATTCCTGCATTCCTGGGGCTCCCTCGGGGCCGGGCGGCCGCGATCTCTGGAAAGGGGAGGAGGGAGGAGGAGGAGGAGGAGGAGGAGGAGGAGGGAGGAGGAGGAGGAGGAGGAGGGAGGAGGAGGAGGAGGAGGGTGAGGAGGAGGAGGAAATAATGAAGGAAGGAGGAGCAGGAGGAAGTGGAGAGGAGGAGGAGAGGAGGAGAGGAGGAGGAGGGGGGGGAGGAGGAGGAGGCGGGAGGAGGATCAGGAATGAAGAAGGGAGGAGGAGGAAGGGGAGGAGGGCGGGGGGAAGGAAGAGGAGGAGGAGGAGGAGGAGGAGGAGGAAGAAGAGGAAGAGTAGGAGGTGGAGGATGATGAGGAGGGACCAGAGGAGGATGAGGAGGAGGAAGGGGGAGGAAGGAGGAGGAGCAGGAGGAGGAGGAGGAGGAGGAGGAGGAGGAGGAGATGTCCTTTACCTCTTGTTGTTCCCAGTAAGGGCTCAGGCCCAGACTTCTCTTTCCCTTTGAGGATCAAAGGCCCTCCACCACCAAGGTGCCGAACAGCAGCCGTAGGGATTTGACACGGAAGAGTGGGTGTGCGGCAGGGGGGCCTCCAACATGAATCTCGGCACGCGTGCGTTCGGCAAGTGTTTTTTACATGTTTCTTGCCACGACGGGGCCGCGGGCGAGGGGCCCATCTTAGCCCGCCAGACTTGGAAACGTATACGTGTTCGGAGGGGGGGGTCTCAAATATCAATCTGGGCACGCGTGCGTTCGGTAAGTCTTTTTATATGTTTCTGGCCACCACGGGGCCGCTGGCGAGGGACCCGACTCAGCCCGCCGGACTCGGACACGTATACGTGTGCGGAGGGGGTCCAACATGAACCTCGGCACGCGTGCGTTCGGCGAGTGTTTTGACATGTTTCTGGCCACGACGGGGCCGCAGGCGAGGGACCCCACTTTGCCCGCCAGAGTTGGACATGCGTGCGTGGGCGGAGGGTTGGGTCTCCAATACGACTCTCGGCACGCGTGCGGTCGGCACGTGTTTTGACATGTGTCTGGCCACGACGGGGCCGCAGGCACGGGACCCAGAGTAGCCCCGCCAGATTTGGACTCGCAAAAGTACGTGCGCGGAGGGGGGATCCAACACGCATCTGGCGCGTGCGCGCGAGGCACATATTTTCACGTGTCCACGGCCGGCAGCGAAGGACTCAGCCCGCCGGAGCCTGCATACGTAAAAATATACACTGCCCCAGGGGGACCAACATGCGCCAGGCGCGGGAGGAGCAGGAGAAGGAGGTGGATAAGCAGGACGTGCGGGAGGTAGTGGTTGCAGGCAAGCAACGGGAAGGTGCCGCAAGCGCGTCATAAGAAAGTTTGGCTCAAGTTCCTTACCGGGTTCGTGGATACCTCGAGTTTTCTCTCTTCTCCCATTACCTCTCGGTGTTTCACCCCCCTGGCCCCACGGAGGGAACCTAAGGTCCGCATCGTTGAAGTCATTGAGGAGGAGGAGGAGGAGGAGGAGGAGGAGGAGGCCGCCGCCGACGACGACGACGACGACGACGAGTCGACCGTACAGACCATCGCGGATTTGTCTTTCCGCAAGCCTCTCCTAGGCCTTTGGGGAGCCTCTTTGGAAGCCTCTTGGAGCCATCGTGACTCCATTGTGCCCACTTGCCCATAAAAGGGGAATTGTTTTAATTCCCCCACCCCGGGGACCGACAACTGGTCTCTTGGGGCCTTTTTGCGACGCTATTGAGCGCTTTCTGGACGCTCTTCTGGGCCCATTGGGCCTCGATTCGACCTCTCGTGGGCCATGGTGGGGCCATCTCGAAGCCTCCGAGGCCCACTGGAAGCGAGAAAGCCAGAATCAACAAGAGTATGGTTTCCATTAGGTCGAGGACGGATTTGGGATTATTGAGGGGCGCTTTGGAAGGCTCGGAGGGCATATTGTGCGTTTGCCAACATGAGCACCAACAGCCAGATTTTTGCATTCTGTATGTGTAAGTTACGTGGTGCAATATTTGTGGTGCAGCAAGCTGTGCTGCGCAAGCTATGTGGTGCAAGGTACGTGGTGCAAGCCGTGTAATCAGTCGAAGCGCCGTTCAAGGCACAGGCGTCCACGAGGCGCTCTGCCAGGCAGCAGTCCGGGGCACTCGGCCAACACGAGGCGCCCACGAGGCGCCCGCCGTGCGAAAATCTCGGACACCCAATGGACACGAGGCGCCCGCGGGCGCTCGCGGGCGTCCAACAGGAGAACGCTTGGATCACCCAGCTAACTCGAGGCGCCCACGGGCGTCAATCAAACGAAGCACCGGCACACCCATCCAAGTGTTTAAGACGCGAGACAAGAACACCTAAGAACAGGCACCGTTAGGGGAAATAGTACATGTACACCGCGTTTTTCGGTTTATTCAGCTTTTCGGCTTGTCATGGCCTCACAAGCGCTTCACATGGACCAAAGGTTGCTCAAAAACGCCGAAGACAACCCCAAGAGGGCCCGAAAACGCTCCCACAGGGTTCTCAGAGGGACTGAAGACGGCCGAAGACAGCCCTGCGATCGCCTCGGCGGACGCTGACGCGGCCCAAGAGAGCTGCCACAGGACCCCAATACGCGTCAATACGGCCGAAGAGGGCCCAAGATGAGACGCCCCGAGCGGTTCCCAAGACAACCCGAAAGGTCCCCGAGACAGCTCTTACACACCCAAATGCACGATGAACCTATGACATGTGCGTTGGTCTGAGGTGTTGTGTTGTTTGTTTGTTTGACGCTTTCGACCAGAAGCTCTCTGACAAAACCGGTGGACAAAGTCGGCGGGACACACGTTGACCACAAGGACACAATTCAAAATGGTCGGCGGAGGGTCGGAAACTCCCCCCTTGTATCTTGGTGTCACGGTTGGGAAGTCAGTTTTTCAAAGGCTCATGACCGGATGTTTTCGAACAGTGGCGGTCTCGAGAGTTTGGTATTCCAATGTACGCGGGTTCTTGGTGTGAAGGGGTAGAAGCGAAGATAGCCGATCTTTCGATTGCCATGTGCACTTCTCAGGACGATACGCGGGAGTCTCTGATGAATTGCTGCATTTGGGGCACATCGTACATACGGTCTAGATCGAAAATCCGTCCCAAGGTATGCAAACGTTGGTTTCCATTCGCATGGGTGCTTGGGGCTTCACAGAGACGCCACAGATCTATATATATATAGAGAGGTAT